GGGTGGAGAGCGAGAGCGAGAGTGTGTGACGCGATCGAGGCACTGGCTTCACTAGCAGACGACGGCGATGAGGATGCAGAGCAGGAAAGGGCGAGGGCGAGGTGAAGGGCAGGGCAGGGCAAAAGCAACGGGCAGGGCCGAACGCCGCAGGAAAGTGGCTCCGAGGTCGGGGTCGGGGCTCGAGGAGGGGATCAGCGGAAGACGGCAATACGGCGTCGGCCAACGCTGCCGCCGTTACCTGCCCTCCAGCTACTTGCTACGGCCACTGCAGCTGGTCCGCCAAAAGAACGCACCACACCACGCCGCATCGCTTCGTTTGGCTTCACCCTGTGCCTTTTCGAAGAAAAAAACGGCGGGTGCTGGCGAGAGAAAGGCTGAGCAGACGGTCCAGCCGACGGGGCTCGCATCTGGACGACCAACACGCGAAAAACACACACAGCAGGGTGCGGCGGGCCATGCGAAAGAGCGGTACTGCTGGACGCGGCCCCTCCGAAGCGGCACAACAGAGGGCGGAGAAGCCGAGACACGGCTTTGGGCCCCCGTGTGGCCGTGAGAGCACACTAGTTGCGACAGGCAGGGTGTGCGGACGAGGCTCGATGCGAGGGGAAAATGCGCGCGCGAGGCCAGGCGGAGGAAAGCCAGATCGAGAGGCGCAGCCGACTCGCGGCGGATGCACTCGACGCACTCTCCGGACGTCAAATTGCGACCACAGAAACCCTGCCCTGGTCCTCGCTTGCGCCAAGCCCACGCGTGTTCTCACAACGACAGCAGCTCAGCACTGTCCCAGACATCGGGGTCCGCCGCCTCCAACCAAAAAAATCACCAAAAAAAACACAACTGCCGCTGCTGCTTCTGCCGCTGCTGCTGCGAAGAGAGAGTCCACAGCAGTCTCGACCTCGACCTGCAACTTCCACACTCCGCCCGCCGCCCGGAGCCCGGAATGGCTCAAGGTGCATCCGCCGCCGCCCCGCCGCCCCAGCAGCAGCGCTAGGCAGCAGCACGCAGCAGCGATGCACGATCAACCGGCACGATTCCGATGCAAACCAACAAACCAGCTCGGGTGGCCTGGTCGCTGCCTACGACTGTCCACTGAGCTTGCAGCATCTGCGATTGGACGCAGCGAATCGCGATGCGCTGTTCGAGTCGCCGACACGTTTTCGGCTCCCAAGCTGGCGGAACCGCCCAACAGGCTTTTGTTTGCACGCCGCCCTGGGGTGGTACCGAGGCTTTTGCATGACTCGCAAGCTGGTCCGGCGAGGTTGATCGTTGCTACCGCAGCAGACAGCCGCACAAACAATCGCCACAATGACAACTACCGACGTGCAACACGGGCGGCGCCTTCCGACCCAAATCTAGCGGACGAAGGGTGGCAGGCGTTTTGAGGGCAGACGTCTGCCCGATGCAGGAAGCTTGTCAACCTTCGCTTGCGGCACGCCGGCCCCGAATGCGAGCTGCCAACGCCAATGCCCACCAAATCCGTGCGCGCCGAGCGCCCACATCTTTGACTTTGGACAATCTCACAGCAGCGCCATATTTGTTTCGCACATACGGCGAGGCTGTCGATGCAGCTTTGCTCGCTGCAATGCTTGGATGCCCATCGAGACACGCTGTTGGCCGGCGGTCAGTGCTGCAGCTTGGCCATGTCGAGGCCTGCCCGCATGTGGGAATGCGGAGAGAGCGGAGTTTTGGCACAGCGAGCGTGTGCGTGTTGTCTCGGTCAACTGTGCGCTTTTGCACCTTGTCTGTCGCCTTTTCCCGGCTCTTGCTCTTGCTCTCTTGACGTGACATTGGGGACACTCATTGTGCAACTCCGAATGTCTCGGTGTTAGCAGCACATGCCCACGGTGACCAGAAGCACCAGCGACTGTAGCATCGGAATCGGACCTCAGCGCCAGCCTTTTTCGGAATGTGTTCGTCGCTGCGATCGCACATCAATCTAGGCTCGCCCAACGGCCGGACTTGGCTCTCCGGTTCCAGAGCCCGTCTTGGCGCGCGCGGATGCCAAAGTGGAGTGCCGCTGCACGAAATTCAGAGCATGATCTCAGCGTGCAGTCGAGCCAGTAAGCACCCGGCGTCTTGTTCAGAGCTCGTGACCCCCTCCCGTCCATAGCTGCAAAGGCAAGGTCACGAGAGGGTCGTGCTGATACGCAGTCCATGCTGTCGAAAGGGCTGCATCGTGAATGGATGGTCGGGGCGTGCCGAAAGCCAGACTGTGTTGCTGCAAGACTCGGCGAGATGCCGAGAAAGTGGTGATTCAGCTTTGCCCAGTGGTTCGCTTTTTTTGGAGGCTCACAAATCTTCCGGCCGCGCTTTGAGTTTTGGGCATTGGGCATTTCCTGCAGGCTCGGGCGTGCCGATGCTAAGCCGATAGCGCTCGCTGCATCACTTGGCACCGCTGACCAAAGTCAAGCGCCTCCATCCCTGACCACCACCGCCACTTTCAACCATCCCGCACCTCAGTCTCGCAGCCGGAACACTCTAGACACCACCTTGCGGTAAACGACCTGTACGAGGTTTCCGAAATAGCCTCAACGCATCCTCTCAAGGGCGATCCGAAAGCTCTCTACTCGGCATAGACAGGAATCAAGCTTCTACATTGGTGCTGGTAACCATGGTTGGGCGCAGTGTGGGCACGTACCTGCTTGCGGTGTGCGCTTTCATCGGCGGTGTCTCGGCGTCGCCGGCATCGTCGTCGCTCTCGTCGCTGCCGCTTGCAGCGCGAGCCCAGGCTGCTACCGCCGACGGCAGCGACATCTTCCAGTCGTGCGTGCGCCGCTACAACACGTCGCGCATGAACCCGCTTCCGCAAGCAGGATACTTTAACCCCAACAATGCCACCAACGGAAGCATGCTCACCGTACGTTCTTCAGCAAGCCACATGTCGAGTTGTGCAATGCAGCTCGACCCCCCACCCTCCCACCAACAGCTTCATTTGACTGACTTTTTTCTTTCATTTGCGCTTGTGCAGATTTGGTTGGATGGGACACCGGGTGAACCGATCAATGCCATCATTTCGGCCAACTCTTCCCCGGCTGTGCTGTGTCCCGAAGGATTCCTGCGATACGCCACGTAAGTCTCCCCCCCCCCCCCCCCCCCC